AGAACCATCTCAGGGATGATCAGCAGAAATGGACAGCACCTAAGTTAAATATATGAGTGTCACAGCGAAGGGTCTGAATACTTATGACCATGTGATATTTCAGTTTTTCTTTTTTAATAAATCTGCAAAAATGTCAAAAATTCTGTGTTTTTCTGTCAATATGGGGTGCTGTGTGTACATTAATGAGGAAAAAAATGAACTTAAATGATTTTAGCATATGGCTGAAATATAACAAAGAGTGAAAAATTTAAGGGGGTCTGAATACTTTCCGTATCCACTGTATATTTGCCTGGCTTTAATCAGCACCCAGGGATGGTAGAAGTTAGGGTGTTTATATTTACAAAATGCAATTTAGTTGGTCAGGGAAAACATCAAAAACCTGTTTGTACCTCCATCAGTTAAATAAAGGTCCAAGCGAATTTATAAATTGCAGATTTCAGTGTTTAATGCATTTTGGATAATGCCCCAACTTTTCTGGAAATGGGGTTTGTATAAAAAGAGAGAGCTGTGTGAGCATCTACAAGCCCAACAGACACATCAACGCAAAAGCATAAACTGGCTTGATCCTAGCTTAGCCTCTAATTTTTGATTGTGTTACACACATATTAGAGAGCTTCATCCTATGAAGCCATAAAACTCATGAAAATCCAAATTGCATAAATTTGCAAAAAAAAAGTCTTGCCCAGGGCAGCAAAGGTGTTTCATTTTATTTTTGGATAGAGCTAGACCAGCTGCTGTCAGTCTTTATGCTAAGCTAACCACACCCTGATTTTAGCTCTAATGAAACCAAAAATGTGGAACTATTCCTTTAAACACCATTTTACACTGCTGTTCAGGAGAGCCACACAGAGGGGGAGCGTCTGAAGAGCATTCTGAAGGAGAAGAAGGAGGCAGAGAAGATCAGAGAGGAGAACCTGCAGACCATCAGGGAGGAGGTGCTACGAGAGAGGGAGGAGGTGAAGAAGGAGAGAGGATTGGTGGAGGAACTCAGAGCCAGAGCCAAGGCCCTGGAGAGGAGGAGGAGGGAGATGATAGTGGAGCTGGAGGAGGTTCGACAGGTGAAGAAGGAGACAGAGGAGGAGAGGAGAGAGGCAGAGGAACAGTGGAGAAGCAGAGTGGAGGAGCAGCAGGAGGTGAAACTGAAAGCTCTGTCGACAGAAATCCAGATGCTCAAGAAGAGAGAGGAGGAGGCAGAGAAGGAGTGGAGGTCCAGGGTGGAGGAGAGAGAGAGGGAAGTGGAGAAGTGCCGGGCTGAGCTCAGCCGGGTCAGAGCCACGGTGACCCTGCTCGAGGAGCAGAAAACACAGATCTCCTCAGTGGCTGCTGAGAGAGGGGGAGGGAGGGAGGAGGAGACGGACGGACAGAGGAGGAGTGAGAAAGACCAAGAAATAGAGCACAGGAAGAAGGAAAGAGGAGAGGTGAGCATATTAGAGAAAACACTGTTGAAACTCACTTGGACTGAATTCATTTTTATACAAAATTGATCATTTCCTGAGGAGCAGCAGGAGGAGGAGGAGCAGCAGCAGATCTCCTCTCTGCTGCAGGAGAAAGAGGAGAGCAGGAAACAGCTCAGACAGAGAGAGGCTGAGGTATGAGACTATAATTAATGTGTTTTTATTGGGTTTTGTTTGCTCGTCTGTGTGTGGGTTTGCTCGCACCAGATAGTGATGGTGAAATGTGTGCCTCTGTTTCCCAAACATGTCCCAGAACAGGTGTCTGCTGATCAGAGGAGGGACAACCAGTCATATGTGTAGACCCTGCATCTGCACGTTCTTTTAAAAAGCCATACAGTTGAGAATGTATTTTATTTGTGTGGAATCTATGTTTATTTATACAACAAACAATATTTATAATATATAAACAGAAATAAAATAATAGGAAATGGTGTGAAACAATTTTGCTGGCAGAAAGGTAGTCAGTAAAAGTCAATAAAGAAAATTAAATTCCACACTGACAAGTGCAGACAATGAAGCTCTGACAGTGATAAGTGAAGTTTGTGTTATTATATATTTCAAGTGAAACCAACTAAAGAAAGAATTTTTACATCAGCCTGAAAACACCGAGTTAATAAGACCCAGTCAAAAAAAGACTTAACAATAAGTGGATAACACCAAACCATCTGTATTCTGTTATAATCTAAAACATCAGCAGCCAGAAGATACTTCATACAATTTCTCTTCAGCTTACATTCACAGAGTCCAGACTCTAAAGTTGTAAAACCTGCTCACAGAGGATTCAAGGTGTTGCAACAGTAAGTGAAACAGTGCAGTGGCATTAGCAGTGTGTTGCTGTGTAGGTGTACGCTCTGACCCAGAGGACAGAGGAGCTGGAGAAAGACCGAGATCGAGTCCGCCTGGCTCTGGAGCAAACAGAGGCAGCTATGATTGGCTACAGGGAGAGGGTCCACCAACAGGAGCAGAGCTTGGGGACAGAGTCCAACCTAGACCAGGTGAGTCTGTGATCAGGTCAGTTGTGTGCAGCCGAAGGTATGTTAAGACTTTGTTTGTCATACCCAGGTGTCCTGAGCAGAGGTGTTCATAAGTCAAGACTGAGTCACATCTGAAGTCTCAGAGTTTGAGTCGGTGCCACAAATTGCGTTACGGCCCAACACGGGTTGTCATACCATGCACATTTTGCTTATTACCGTTAGAGAAGAAAAAACACAACACGTGTGCATGTCCTTTCCTCCCTGACTGCCTGTGTTACACATATGCAGCAGACAGAACCTCATCCCAAAAAGGAAATTAAAATCAGCAGCGTGGCGTTTCGGTATTCCAAAGCCAACGCTTTCAAGAACACCCTCCCTCTGTGCAGATCAAAGTGTGTGTCCTGTTTTCAACTTTAATCCTAAATGATAAAAAGTATCAATGTTAAAATGTGCTGTTGGATGTGGAAATATATTTCAGACTCCTGGTTACACCTGTGTTGTCTGTTCGTTTGCTAACCTCCAACTTACACAAGGACTCGCACTGATCCCAATCTGACCCCATCGAGTAACACACACACACACAGTCTTTCCTGGCTCTCATAAGTGTTTGTGTGAATGCGAGTCAAGGCTGTGCTGTCACCTTAACATTTTCATTTTCAGAGTACTTTTACAGTGTAGCATCTGTGCTTTTACTTAAGATGTGAATACTTCCTCTGGTGCCAACCTGTTAAAATGCTTGTTATACAACTTGTTTGACCTACATGCTGTTTTTATCACATTTATAACTTGTTTATTATTATAATCCTGTTCATTCTTTAGGGTGAAGCTGTCTCTGTGAATGTACGTCCCAATCCAGCTCAACCAAGTGTCACAGCGTGAAAGAAACTGTTTTCATTCCTTGTTTTAGCTGATAATAATAATAGAAACTGTGAAACCACGATATTTTCTGTGACAGTTAAAATGCAGTGAAAATCTCATACCATGGCAGCTGTAGCTCAAAGAGGTTTGTGTGTCAGCAGGGTGCCGGGGACAGACTGGTGGTCCTGCAGCAACTCGTGGCTGAACTGGAGCTGGAACAGACACGACTGAACAAGAAAAACTCTCACCTGGAAAATCAGAAAGAAAAACTGAAGAGGGAGAGAAACACGCTGCGAGACACACTGAGACAGGTACACACACACAGACAAGGCCAGGTATGTGCACACAGACAAGCGCACACACTGAGACAGTTATAGTTCCATGTTGTTCAGACATTGTTTGAGGTGTGTTTGTTATTGTGTGGTGCAGGTGGAGGAGCGTTCAAGGTTCAGAAAGCAGGTGACTGACAGCAGCACATCTCAGGTGAGACACACAGACCCACATGGGTATATCTGTACATGTGTGTCAGTGTGTAACTCTGTTGTTTATTCAGGAGCCTGCAGACACCACAGAAGATGAACGGCTGAGGAGCAAAGTGCGAGAGCTGGAGGACCAGGTGAGCGCAGCAGCAAAGAAGAGTTTCCAGTGTTGTTGTCATCAGGTGGGTGCTGATGATGTCACCATGTCTCCTCCCCACAGGTGAGTCAGCTCCATCTCTCATTAGCTGTGGATCAGCAGCAGAGGGAGGAGTTTATTCAGCAGTCCTCCAGAAATAGCCAATGGCTGCTCACTCTGAGACATGACCTCAGTGATTCGCTGGCTGCTGTCACGCGGCATCCGATCCCATCCGTCTTGGAGTCAGAGACACAGCGATTGGATCGCAGTCTAAGGGAGGAGGAGCTCAGAATGTCCCTCAGCCAATCATAACGCCTGAAAGATAAAAACTTTTAAATGAAGCTTCTGACCAAAAATGTTAAACCAAAACAGGCTCAAAGACATTCTACTTTGTACCGTTACCATGGAAACGGCTTTGGAAACAAATTTTTCTATGCTTGTTTAAAGGATGTTAAAGTTTTAGAGCCGTTTGCTGATTGGCTGGTTGCACATGATGAGTGACATTAACATGTCAGATAATAGCCTCATAGAGGCTGCGTTCAAGACCCACCAGGGCAATCAGTACAACCAGCGATGTCTACAACTGACCGAGTTATTGATCATCAGATGTGCTAAAGTTTGGGCAGTTCAGTGCAAGTTCTGTTAATGTGTAGAATCCAAAACTAGAAGGACCAGGAGGGGTCTGAAACCACCCAGACGACCTCCGCATGGTTCTGACATATTCAGAGGCCTCCACAGTTACATTGCTGGGCCTGTAGTCCGTGGTCGTGTCAGTCACTGTTTCTCCTTTACGTGATTGGTGACTAGATTCTTAAGTACAGATACTTGATCTTAATATTTCCTTTTCTGCCTTCCCGCCAAGTAGAAATTTGGAGGTTCTCCTGATGGCTGCTTTCACCCAAACCTGTTTCACTTGGTTTGTTTTGGTTGCTGTGAAAGCTTTCGTTCAAAATGTGGTTCAGAAAAAAACAACCAGGTTGAGACCACTCACTCTTCCAGAATCAGACCCTGTGTGGCCAAGATGTTTAGGCCACTCTTTCAGCCAGTCTTAATTTTGCTGTCCGGTTTCACAAATAAAACACTGAGCATTTTTATCCTGTCTGACTGATGAGTTAACAGAAGTACTGTCACTTTAACAAGCAACTACAGTATGTGCTGATAGTATTTTACACTGGGAGTTGTTTCTATTGTCATATTCTTCACAAAATCGTCCAGAAAAATGTCCTGTAACTACAGCTGCAGCTATTGAATATTTTAGAAATCAAGTATTGTACCAATTCATCCATCCATTTATCAAGTTGCCATATAAGAAACAAATTTGCTTTATCAAAGAACAATAGTACATAAACAAGAGGTAGGCTAGTACAACTAGCCTGGTTGTTTCCTTTTTATAAAAGTTATTTTGAAATCATTTTATTGCTTCAAGCGCTTTATTACATTCTGGGTTCTAAAGAAACTTGACCACTTGATTTTATTGTATTTTCTGGGGTATTTTATACATACCTATGAAGGGAGTAGGTGTGTGCGCGTGCAACTTTGTATTACTTGCATCATGAGGAACGAAACCTGTTAACGCACTCCCAATGTGGGGACTCGGCCATCCTTATGGGGACCAGAAGCAAGGAAATCACTGAATTTTAGGGTGGCAACATGGGTATGGGTTTACGGTTAGGCTAGGTTTTAAGTTAAGTATTAGGGTTAGGGTTGGGCAAGTAGTGGTTAAGGTTATGATAGGTCTACAGGAAATGACTGTAAAGTCCCCACAAGGAATGAAAACTGTGTGTGTGTGTGTGTGTGTGTGTGTGTGTGTGTGTATGTGTGTGTGTGTATACAACAAGCCATTTTAGCATTTAGGAGCTAGACTGAATATATATTGCAGATATCTGTAGTTTGCTTATTCCGAGTCAAGAAGAACACTTCACATATCCACGCCATCACGCTTCATAAGACAAATGATGTCACTTTTGCCGTTCATGTTTTTCCAGAATGTTTACGCTGGATATTATTACTGTGGATATCTGAAATAGGAATCGTCACTAAGAACAACTTACATTTCTACTGTTTGTTATTACTAGTCATTATTTTCATTTATAATTTGATCATTTTGTTTGGCCCATATCCACAGTACATATGTGGATGTCTTCATCCAGAATGTTGATTCTGCATATCAAAAATGATGTGGATAACTGACACGTCATTTGTCCTAAAAATTATGTCGTAGATCATAGTAATCATAATGCTTTGAATTGTATTGGAGCAGTTTTAATGGAGTCACCTGCTGACTGTAGCAGTTTGCTTCCTGTCATTATTTTAAGAAAACTTAGCTGTTTAACTTGGGAACATCATAACTAGCCATGATATTGATTTACATTTTTTACCAGCCATTAAATTAATCAACCAACATTCTTTGCTAGCTTTCATCTCATCTATACTGATATACAGCAGTTGCACTTAGGTGTAGACCGAAACAACCGCACCGAGACCCATTCCTGGAGGTGGTCTCGGCATGGTTCCATACAAACTCTGGAACTGTTCGTTTGCAGTGTGAACGTGATCTGACCTCGATCCACAAGTGTGAAATGCAGGACCTCTAGACTGAAAAACTCTTTCCGACTGTCATCAGACTCCTAAACAGCTGGCTCATGTAATTCCATCTGCACTGTTTACATACTCATTTTGCACATGCATAATTGCACACTTACTGCTGAATATTTGCACTTCACAGCTCCCACATGGCATATTATATTCTCATTATATTGTCTTCTTGTATTTTTATTTGCTTCTTACGGCCTATTTAGATGTTATTGCTCATCTACTTTATATTTCATTTGTATTTTGTGGCATTCATGTGGACGGCAAAGTAAGAATTTCATTGTACAGGGAAACACGTTTCCTAACTGTGCATATGACAAACACTTTGAACAGCTGCGGGCTCTAAACTTTAAGAACTGAGTCTTATCTCAAAATGACAAAGAGAAGGAAATGGAGGTCAGTGTGACATCAAACTTACTGATGCCCGCTCTGACGCGCTCAGCTCTGCTGTTAGTTGGCTACGCTGCTTTGAACCACAAGCACATGAATTAATGAATCGGTGCAGCAGTTTGAGGTCCACACTAGGGCTGCAACTATTTTAATAATCACTTAATATGTCAATTATTTCTACAATTAATCAATAAACATAAAAAATGCAGAAACCAGTTTTTTTCATTATGAAAAGAAAAATGCATTAATTTAAACACTGCCTTTACAATGGTTCTATGCACTGCATTATTAAAGAAAATCTAAATTATTTGTACATGAATAGAGCTTTTTATAAAGTGCACGGTAGGTCCTGAGTGTTAATAAAAACACAAATATTTGATGAAAAATAATTTATGTTCATTAAACATGCCATGCTGATGTAAGCGGCCAGGACAAACATGTCTGTTATTGTTGATGATTAAAAGTAAATTTGAGTTTGCCTAAACATTTACTCTTAAGCTTGATTTATGGTTCTGCGTTGAATCTACGTCGTAACTTGACGTGCATCTCTCCAGAAATGCAATTGGACGTTGTGGCGACACAGACAACAGCTGTGATCGGTTGCATCGCATTTCTTCGTTCTTGTCTCTCAGTGGCCAGACAAGCAGAGCACGTCCCCTCGCTCTGCCTCAGTTGGTCTAGCGGTCGTAGAGACCATCGCCTCTGATGTAATTTTTAGTAAAAGTAACATCCACCGTGACCCGCTTATTTTCAGTGGCCATTGCTAGTAAGTGGTGAAGAAACACAACACTGGCATAGAGACCACACCGCCAACTAGTGTTTTGGTGGTGCAGGGCGACACAGACACACTAGGCAGAGGTATACACCAATCAGGCATAACCTTATGACCACTGGCAGGTGAAGTGAATAACACTGACTATCTGTTACAGTGCCACCTGTCAGTGTGTGGGGTATATTAGGCAGCAAGTGAACATTCAGTCCTCAAAGTTGATGTGCTGGAAGCAGGAAAAATGGGCGAGTGTAAGGATCTGAGTGACTTTGCCAAGGGCCAAACTGTGGTGGTGGGATGACTGGGTCAGATCATCTCCCACACTGCAGGTCTTGGTGGGTGTTCTTGGTCTGCAGTGGTTAGTACCTACCAACAGTGTCTAAGGAAGGACAAATGGTGAACTAGTGACAGGCTCATGGATGCCCATGGTTCACTGATGATGAGGTTGACCTACTGTAGGTTAAACTTTTAACTTCCATTTGTGCTTTTCAAAAGATTAAAATTTATTTCAATTAAAATGGTTGAAAATGAGAAATACTGCACATTGATTTCTATTGAGTCAGGGGCTGTGGTGGTGGTGATATCACACCTAGAGTGGTGAGGCTGTTGAATTTGTCTAAAAAATTCCCTCTAACTTGTCCTCCTGACCACAGTTTTCGCTCCTTTTACATATGTTTTTTACTGAATTGCAGACACATCAGTGCACTTCCTAATAGTAGAACTGTGGAAGCAAATGGATTCACAGAAGAGGCAGAGTGACATGAGTGCCAACCAGCTGCCACATGGACTCCTGTGTAAACAGTATTAGGCAGGTGGTCATAATGTTATGGCTGATCAGTGTAAATGTTCACAAAGACGCAGGCTCTACATAGATTCAGCTCAGAAACATAAGTCAAGCTTTAGCTTATGTAGGTACTCTGCACTGTCCCCATTAACTTGCTTAACTGTCATTAATGTTCCTGAACACACCTATAGCCTTAAACTTAGTTTTGCTTGTTAAAAGTTTGCATTAAAAAGTATTTAAAAATCTTTTTCATTTTGTGAACTCATATGCATGTATTGTATATCACATGCAGTAAAAGACAACAATGCTGAACCTAAGCCTCATTTTGGTAGATCTGAACATCTAGCAATCCAGCTCAAACCTATGTCTACACAGAAGTTAAAGCAGGCAGTTCTACTTCAGAATCACTTGACTCTCATCCATACAATTGTAAGATATATAAGCAAGGAAAATAAAGGTATGAAAAGTAACAAAGAAAATGAACTGAAAAGTAACTAAAGGAAACTAGAGTTATGAAAAGTAACTAAACCTTATAAAGTAACTAGAGCCTATAAGAATCAAATCTTACACCCTAACGACTGTTTTGAGATGGGTGTTTATAGGTAGGTCGCAAAGGAGCTGACGCACACTTGTCACAAATCTCAACGTGTTGTTCATACATGTGTCAAGCAAACTGAGTGGTTGATCCAAATTCCTTTTGGGTGGGGGATTTGTAAATAAAAATGAGCTAGAGCATCGGCTAACTGCTGGAAATAGAAACAGTTTTGAAACTAAACTCCTCTTCAGGGCACTTTATTTCGTTGGTCGTGTTCTTTTTCTCTGTTTTTTTCACTAGTGACTGATTGAAGTGACTTGTTTACACTGCCACCGGGTGACATTGGTTTCTGATTCCATAAATGCAGGTGTAGAGCAAACCTGCTGTCTGGCTCTAGTAGATTGATTTAGACAGAAGTTTTTATTAGAACTTTATAAAGCACTTTCTAAACTTCTACATCCACTACCTTTCTACCACAGTTCATTACCTGAGAGATAAACAGCTTGTCTGTGTATTGTGGATAAGCAGCTTCACAACAAACATGCACAAACACACGGCGTTACTGAGGTGCCTCACATAGTTTTCCTCTGGGAACTGAACAGCCCATTAGCTGCTGCTGATTGCAGCTTACTAGTGGCTTTGTGGTTGGAAACCTTTCACACCTGCTCACTTCAGGGTCACATGAAGACGGCTGCAGTCAGAGGTGTTAACAACTAATGAGCTTCAAAACAAACACATGATGCAAGCAGTTCATTAACAACAAATGATTCCTCAAAGAGCACTTTTGTTTTGCAGAGTTTATCAAACTTAAACACATGCTGAGATTATTTGAAGTTCACCCAACTTTTCACACAATTCAAGTAAAAAAAAAAAAAGTAATTAAAACTATTATTTGTTTGTCGAACATCCTCATCCTCTCTGCACAATAGCCCCTGTGCCAAGATTCCAAAGAAGCAGCCTGAAATCTGTCTGTATCTCTGGACCGAGAATGGATGAGTAAAATTAAGATAACAGAAGGTGACATAATCAATGGGCAAAGGTACAAGAGAGAAAAAAATCCAAAGTCTTCAGAATACTGAGCCATAAATATAAAGCAGCTCCAAACCTTCACCAGAGGGATGATGAGTTTATATTTCAGAATCAGCTTTATTGGCCAGGTGTGTTGGACACATGAGGAATTTGTCTATGGTACAGGCTCTCAATGTGCATGTACATGATCTTATGTAAGTGTTATACCCCAGTTCTTTTACTGGACAGATCTGAGTAAAAAAGGAGTCCACCTTTTTTTATTTTAGTGCTGGTTTATTTACATATATATATATATATATATACTGTATATAT